GGCCTGCTGGGCGCCAGCTTCAAGTCCACGGCCTCGGTGCAGGAGCTGGAGGGCGCCGCCGAGTACGAGCGCCTCAGGAAGGAGTACGAGATCTTCCGCGTGAGCAAGAGCAACGAGGTGGCCTCCATGGTGAAGAAGGAGGCCAAGCTGGACCGCGAGAACAAGCGGCTGCGCGCGGAGCTCCAGGTGGGAGGGCGCCCGCGCGCTCGAGGCCGTTGCTCGTCCCGCTTCTCCCCAAAAACTCTTGGCATGGGCGGCTGGCCCTTCCAAGGAGAAACCACCCTCGCGCCACCTGGTTGGCGCAGTTGTGGGATGGCAGGTTGTGGCCTTAGCTGTGGACATGTCACCTTTTGGCCTTGTTCCATCCCTCCCTGCTTCCCTCCGGGAGTAACCGCGTGTTTAATCCCTGCAGGCGCTTCAGAAAACGTACCAGAAGATACTCAGGGAGAAGGAGAGCGCCTTGGAAGCCAAGTACCAAGCCATGGAGAGAGCGGCTACCTTTGAGCACGACCGAGACAAGGTCAAAAGGCAATTCAAGGTACAGATTTTATTTTGTTTTGTTTTGTCTTACTTCTCTGGGGAAGTGACCAAAAGAAAAAGGTGATGGTGCTGCAAGGTCCCATTTGCCCAATGAGCTCTTTGTGAGGCCCTCTCCTTCTCAAGAAAGTTGCGCTCTCCTAGCTCTACCCAGTTATTTTCTTGAAGATAATCCTACCATCCATCTCTGCAAACCAAAGACAGAGTTTAGGTTAATGAAAAAATAGCTTATTTTTTTTTTTAGACACTATGTAGACACTAAGCTCTGAAATTGAATTCTTGTGTCATTCTTACATGGGTCCTTGCAGTCTTCACGCCTGAGAGTGACAAGTGAACACAGGCTGCCTGTCTGCTACCTGTTGAAGGAATGTATAGATTTAAACACAAACTTTAATTACTTCTGAGTAAATTGTATATTTAGCACTGTAATGCTTAACGCTTACATGAGAAAAATGTGTGTAATACATCTCTTTTGGCTGCTAAAAGAAGAGAGCCACCTAAAGAAAAGTGCTAAGGCTACCTTTAGGATGCCTTGAAAGGCAGAAGGGTGCTTCTGTTTTTTCTGCCACACAAAATGTGGCAATAGGCCCAGTTTTTGCTCTGTATAATTTACTCTTATTTCCTTGTATTAAGGTAGAATCCTAACTTTCAGAATGTAAAAGAGAAACTTTTTTTTTCTAAAGGTAATTTCTAGCTGTGTTTTCCAACTAGTTTTCATGCTCCTGATGTCTTTTTGTTCACATTTTCTAGCCTTTCCATGCTAAATGAATGCTAAAAATGTATATTTGTAAGTGGAAGTGAATACTGGCATTCGAGGAACTGATACTGAATTTCTAGAGAGTTATGGTTTGTACTTGAAAGCTATTTTTTCCTACTTATAGATTTTTAGGGAAACTAAAGAAAATGAGATTCAGGACTTATTGAGAGCCAAACGAGAGCTAGAGGCAAAACTTCAGAGACTACAAGCCCAAGGAATCCAAGTGTTTGATCCCGAAGAGTCTGATTCTGATGACAATTGTACAGATGTTACGGGTGAGAGTTCCATGTTTTGCATTTTATGTTGAAATGTGGCTGAAGTGTATGAATGAGAAAGCCTAAGACAAATACTTTGATTCTGTTGATAAAAGGTTTATTGGACTGGGTTTAAAAACTTTTTTTTTTTTTTTCCAATTTTCTTAAGGGATAAAAGGAGCTGACTTTACAACCATAGTTTGTATTGTGGAGACCCTAAATTTCTGGTCATATTCATGGATCAAGGGAAAAAATGGAGCATTGTCTAGACACAGTGACTTGAAACTTTCTTGAAGTTGTCCCATGAACAGTTCTTAGTTCACAGTTTGACTTGCTTTCTATGTATAGTTTTTCTATATTTTTTATATTAAATACAGTTTCAGATTTTTACTTCCCTTCCCACTTTTTTTCTAAATCCTTTTCATTTTCTTATTTTCTGCATGAAAGTTTTATGTGGTGCCTTGAAAGTCTCATATTGGTTGGCAGAGCTGCAATCCAAGCATATGGTGAAGAGATACTGTGAAAGCTCTTTCACACAGCGCAGAAAATTTATTTCAATCCTGACCTACAGCCACTTCATGCTGTTCTAATTGCAGAACTTTGCTGAACGAAAGTTGAACAAAGGTTTTTGTAATGTGCACAAATGACTGCAACAATGCTGTGAACTGTTTTCCTTTAGCTGATCTGAGTCAGCATTTGAACCCAACAGATCAGAGCAATCCATGTAATAACAAATTCTATTTATTTCATTTTTTAGCAGCATGGCTTCTCAGTGACTTTGGGCAAGTGCCCAGTTAGAGCTAGAGCCCCCAAAGGTGCGAGTGAATCTGCTTGAGGAGAAAACATTCTGATCAGTAGCGTGTGAGAGCAGGTTTCAGCTAGGGTGTTTAGGACTGGTGTTTTACCCTGTTTACTGACAATGAGGGTTTTGTTTTCTTTTGTTTTTTTGATTCTTAGCTTCTGGGGCACAATCTGAGTACTGGAATGGAGGAGCATTGGGCAGCGAGCCGTCCATGGGGAGTATGATGCAGCTTCAGCAGTCTTTCAGAGGACCTGAGTTTGCTCATAGCTCTATAGATGTTGAGGGACCTTTTGCGAATATAAACAGGGGTAAGTAATGGTGTACATGCCAAGTTGTGCTTATGTATTTGATAAAAAAGGTTATGTGCAGCAGGGATTTTAGCAAATTGAAGTAAAAAATGCTTCACTGTGAATAATTGAAATGCCATTTTATTCATATGGATCAAGAAAGTTTTTTTTTTTTTTTTCAGTGTCTGTTGGCATTCTTTTTTTTTCCTTCCAAAATTCTCTACTGCTTTATGAATGTTGCGTATGTAACATGCATAAATTATTTCTCTTTTTTTCATTGGAATTGCAGTTTTTGTTCTGCTAGGGGTTAGTTCGTGGAAATCTAACTGCAAGACCAGGATGTGTGCATTATTAGATGTCAGAAACTAAGAAGTATGTCTAACAGTTCCAGCATTATGCTGTGGATACCACTAGTTCCTGTTGTAAAACTGTTTCCCACATGGCAAACTATCTTCCACTGTCTTCCAACCTGTCCCTAGGCTGTAGTTGTCTTTGGACACAGTTCTTCCTTTTTTTATTTTTGTAACCTCCAATATGGAAGTCTCTGCCTGCAAAGTAGCAGGGGAGAGTCTGCCCTGTGGTGGTTCCAGCTTCATATACTGATACTGTTATCCTGCCAGATGGTACTGAAAGGACAGTGTATCCTTGGCTTGAAGGAATGTCCGACCACAAAATGAGTAAAATAAGTCGTAAAAAAAAATTATTTTTTTTCTACAGTGAGTTGACATAGAATATAAAAAGGGACATATAATACTTAAAGCAAGGGACGTTGCTCCCAAGAAGAATTGATCCCAAGAAGAATTGATCCCAAGAAGAATTGATCCCAAGAAGAATTGATCTCAAGAAGAATTTTCCATATTGTTTAATTGGCATTTTTTAGCAGAGTTTAACTGAAATGTACTTAGACCTAGAAAAAAATATGTTGGATTAGGGGTGATTTTTATTATTCCTGCATATTTTTACAACTATCAACTTGGTTTTGTGGATACATTTCATCCATCCTATTTTAAATGAAATACGATTGTAGCAATAATATGAATACATTTAACACTATTATGTTTTGCCACATTGTCATGCTGTGTGGTTTTATAAAATTATAGGAGTCCTTTAAACTGAAAATTTTTAAATTAGATCAAAAATATTTGAGTAAAACTATTACTGCTGTTTGAAATAAGATGAGCTATTCGTAATATTGATAGGTGACTTATTATCTGTTTTATAGTATAATCAGATCCAAAGATCTCTGCTTCCATTTTTTTCATTTGTAGATGACTGGGATGCTGCTGTTGCTAGTTTGTTACAGGTTACTCCTCTGTTTTCTCACTCTCTGTGGAGTAACACAGTAAGGTGCTTTATAATTAGTACTGATGAGACTCAGCCAGAAGTGGACATCTTCATTAGGGTGAGTACCTCACAAACTTACATTAACTGATATGCTGAGTTTCATTTTCACTGTGACACTTGCTCAAAATTTGGTCCAATATTCCACAAAATCTTTAGTAACTGTATTATGATTTCAGTGAAGTTAGAGGTAATATTGTCAATGATTTCAGGGGGAGAAACGATGTACAGGAAAGGAACTGGGATTTATCTAGTAATCCTTACTGTTATGCAGATTTAGTAATAAAACACTTATTGAAATTTGCTTTCAGAGCTACGCACCAAAACTTCGAAGAATCTGTGAAACAATGGGATACTTCTTTCAAGTTGTTCATTTTCCAGCAGAAAATGAAAGTCATTTTAAGGCTGCAAGGAAATGGGAAATTGAAAAAAGTTCGCTAGTCCTTTTGCTCCTACATTTAACTTTGCCAAGGTAAGTGGTTGTCCGGTGTGTAAAGAAAAGGGAAACTGGCAACTCTGCATAGTGCATAGCTTATTAAAATGTATGTGATCCATCGCTCAGTACATTTCCTAATTAGCAGCTTCTATATGATACTCCTTCAGACTTTGGATTTACTGAAGTGCAGGTAGATAAAAGAATGCATCAGCTTCATAACATTTCCTTTCATCCTCTAGCTATAGATTCTATTAAAAAACAGCATGAAAGATGCCTTCATATTAGTATGCAAAGATTATACTTTCCAAGAACAGCTCTGCTGTGCATACTCCTGAAATTTTAGGAACAGAAAATCCTATGATCTTAAATTAACTAGACGCACTCTTTCTGTCTCTAAAACATACTTCCCTAGAGAGCTAAATGCTAGCAGCTAAGACAGCATTGGAGTGTTTCTGGAAACAGTCGGGTACTACAGAAGATTCAGATTTGTGTTTTGAGAGGAGCTGGGCTAGAGCTGACATACTTTTATGCCCTTAGGAAGAAGAATGTGTCAGCAGCTGAGGGGGCGTTGACACCCCGAGAGATGCTGTTGCCAAATAATCCAGTTTTATATATGTGTTTATGTATGTGGCCACAAGTGTTTAAGAATGAAATCCATATTGAAAAATGTCTCCAAAAAAGAGTTCGAAAGAGGGCTTCCTGCCAACAATAGTCTTTTAAAAGATTTCTCATACAAAAGCTGTGATTAAAATTGTATTGCTCATATCAGAAAATAATGTGTGGGAGATCCTGTTTGCCACTGTCAGCATCCTCAAGTTGTGTAGTTGTATAATCCCAGGAACAGCTCACTGGATACAATAACATGGAACCGTGGGGGTTATTCCTTTGCATACACAAATATAAAGCATTTTCGAGATCAGAGGTCTGTAAGTTTGCAATCAGTGTATATTAAGAGACCTAGCTTATGTCTAAGAAGTGAAGAAATAGGACAGAACCTTCAAATAAGTAATGGCAGGACATAAATGTGGCAATCTTTCATCACATGTGAATCCATGTTATTTTGATGCAAGACAATTACTTTTCACTCTGTGTATTGATGTGACAGGAGCATCAACTTTTAATTTAAAAAGCAGCAATGTAAGGATTAATAAATGATTTGATTTTTTTTTTAAGTAGCAAAAATTGCTCTTTCAGCTGCTCTGTCCTTCAGAGTTTATCTTAAATTCTCTGATGAAGTACTTGGTTGCCTTTGTAAGAGGGTAAATGACTTTCGAATTAGATTTTGCAGTGAAACCTGTCTTTGGAGCTTGTGTTCATTGAACTATTTGCTACAGCAGTGTAATATAGCACAAGAATGCTGATTTCCAATCTAGTTGTTTGCTGGAGGACTGTGAAGAAGCCTTCTTGAGAAATCCAGAAGAAAAGCCCCGGGTGATTTACCACAGAGTGGAAGATGGCAAAGACAGCTCAGTCCTGGTGCAGCAGCTAATTGAGCAGATTCGTTATGTGAACAAAGCAAAGGTATGATACTTTAACAATGACTGTGGTTTAAAAGGCTACTTTTCTGTTATGAACAACAGAGTGCTGTTAGCACCCGATTTTAGGAGAAGTTGCATTACACTCATTCTGGATGCTCACTATATAAGTAGACAGATGAAGCTCAATTTATGAAGATAATGAAATTTTCATTAGGAAAAAACACTGCATTTTCACTGCAAACCCCTTTGCTATAGGGATAAAATTTCTCACCTAAGTTTAGCTATTTGAATGCTGACATCTAGGCATTTATCTAGGTATTTACCTCTTTGGTATCTCTGTAGCCGCTGATGAGAGAAAGGGGAACCTCCGAAGAGGTTTCTTTCACATGAACATAGATCACTTGCCTTTAATCTCTATAGAGATGACTGTTGAAAACAGCTGAGACTAGATGTCCAATTTTTTAATGCTTAGGCAAGATGAATCCTACCTAAGAAGTAGAAAAGAATGGACTTTGAATATGTTACGGAATGATTTTTGGGTAGTCATAAATACTGTTCCCCTTTAGTTTCAGAGGTGATCCATGCTTTGTCATTTTTTTTTTTTCAGACAGTTGACAATATGGGAAGTGTTGAAGAAGGAGCATATGAAATCTATAATTGTGTGGAAAAGATAATTAAACAGGTAGAGTACCTGATGAATTTCACCTTTTTCTGTTCCCACTCTTGATTTCTGATCTTAAATGTTGGTAAATGCTCCTTTGATGTGATTCAAAGGTTTTATTATTAATACTTTAATACATTAAGGAATTCTGCAAGTGGGAAGAAAACCCAACTGAGCAATGCTTTAAGGACAGAAGCAGTGGAAAAGGATCACATAAGATTGGAAATTCTCTGTTAACATCATGCTCCATCATGGAATGGGAGGGATAACATCAGGGGTTAAGGAGAGGCTGCATAATCTTTATCATCTCATGTGATAGATACTTCCCTCTGAGAGGAGTAAAAGCAGAAATCAAATCAGAAAACTAAATCTCTACGTCTCGAGATCTTGGCATTCAGTGTTCACTTGGGATCATTTAATTACCCATTTAGTCGTGTTTCCTGTAGTCTAAAAGGGAATGGGCTGTTGGGGTTAATAGAGTTGCAACCAAATACAGCAGAATATGTTTAAGAAAAGCAGTTGTACGTTTCTCCTAGTAGTTTTCTTTTTACTCAGGATATTTTGGGCTGTGAAATGACAGAACTAGAAGGCAAGGATGGAGATAATAAGGAAGAGGCCAGTGTTCCTGAAGAAGAAGTATTTGGTGACGTGTTGTGGGATGCACATGATGAACAAGAACAGATGGAAGCTTTCCAGCAGGCCTCTAGTTCAACATGTGAGCTAGGATTTGAGAAAGTAAGTATGTTACAAATGTATATGGATGAAGAGAAAGCTGTCACTTTGTCTCTTGTGGGACAAGATATACTTCTGCAGAAGGACCTGTGTCTGAGAGCATCCTTTCAGGGCTGTTATTCCTTTGGCTAGAGGAAAGCACATGTGTTATGTAGATGACCTACTTGTTTTCCGGGAGTTACGCCAGTTTGCCTGTTCCTGAATGGTGTTGGTGAAGAAGTGGTTGCTGTTTTTACACTGGAGAAAAGCACTATAACCCTATGCCAGGAATAGGACGTCCTTCTAGGCTTTTGAAGTCTGTAGGAAAGACTCTGAATGTGGTTTCTTTTTTTTCTTTCTTTCTTTCTTTCTTCTTTTTTTTTTTGAAGGGAATGAGATTCTTGACACCTTAAGTTGGATCCTTTGGAGATCAGTAACCAAAAGGTTTCCTCTCATCTTGTAGCCACTCATGTGTGAGAACACAGGAAAATTGAAAGTAGAGCAATGCTTAAAAACTCCATTGTTTGTCATTATTTGAAATAAGATTCTAAAAACATTTTAAACTAGGGATGTCAAGAGCAGGTGTGTGGATAGGGAGGGTAGGAGGAGTGTATGAAGAAGAAATTTGAAAGTGGCCCTTAGCATGGACTGATATTGCAGCTGGATTTGTGTAACATTCTTTGGTGAGCTGTAGTATAAGAATAGAGTATCTTTATTATTCTAATTAAATTATTAGCACCCTGTTTTTATTAGCACAGCTTTTCCTTTGACTTCATTGTTCATATTTTGGCAATGGATTTGAGAAATGTGCCATCTTTGCTACATACTAGAACAGTTAAAGAAATAAAATAGTAAGAGAATATACACATATGTGCATCTTAACCCAGCCTCCACTCCCCTTGTGCCATGACAAACTATCCCAAGTGGATTAATGTTATCTTATGTTGCTAAACCATTTCACAACTTCATGGGCATTCATGTAGTTGTGCACTTGGTGTCTCAAAATGTAATAGCAGATCTCAAGTCTGAAGGCTGAGTCCTGGTAAATGGGACCTGATTGCTTTGCTGTAACAACACCGACTCAGTTCGTTAGCCCTAAAAATTCCTACTGAACCAAATTTTTAAAAGTTCATTTTTTTATGATTTCTTTAAAATAGATAATCAATTTAGTGTTTTTAATGCTTACCCAATAAAGTTATTTCCATATGTATTAAGTTTTAGTGTTTATCGCCTTACCTCTGTAAATTTGCACATGCATTTTGTCATTAGGCAGTTTACCATACCGAGCAGTGTATTTCTTCCTTGAACAGTGAAATACTTCGTAATTTTTTTTTGCTTTTGTTTTTTTTTAAATAGTATTTTGAACGTCTGAATGACCTAGTAGCAGCACCAGCACCTATTCCACCTCTGCTTGTATCAGGAGGACCAGGCTCGGGGAAGTCTCTCCTTCTATCAAAATGGTAGTTAAAAATATGTTTTCCCTGTATGAAATTTAAAGAAAAAAGTTTCCATTACAATGCTCAGAATGTATCACCTTAATCAGAAGTACAGTGAGAGAAGTTAAGAAAACACAGCCTAAAGTACAGCATTAGATGCTTTCAGTAGTTTGTCCTTCTCTGATACCCAATGAGGTCTTTTAGAGTCTTTTACTGAAACCAGTGGAAGGAAGGGGCTGACCTAATAATTTATCCCAGAAATGCATTCTGCAGTCACTTTTAGGCCGTGACAGAATTTGCTGCCATAAAAATAAATCAATAGTGTCATTATTTCTTAAAAGCTTGGGAATGTGACTGTTTAGTGCCAGAAAAGGGCCCCCAGAAAGGGCTAATGTTAATGACTGCCAGTTCTGGAGAGATCAAGAATGGAAACTGATATAAAAAAATCAATTATATCTTACAGAATGCTTGATTTACTATGTCAGATAAATAACCCAATGTCACTATCTAGCATACTCTACCTCCTTTGTCAAAACAGATAATTTTTAATTGAGATGTAAATATATTTGCAAAAACATGGTCTGCTAGGTGCTTTTTTCTTCACTCACTAGGATTCAATTGCAACAGAAGCATTCGCCAAATACTCTGATTCTTTATCACTTTGTGGGGAGGCCCATGTCTACCAGTTCAGAGTCTGCACTGATAATTAAACGCCTTACTTTAAAGGTAAGCTGTGTTGTCATTTACACTGCATAATTTGATTTTTTTTTAGAAAGGGTCAGTGAGTATGCGTCAGAAGCAGCCATTTTTTGTGGGCTTTTCTACATCAGCTAAGAGCAATACAGATGAAGGACATGATAGAAGTGGGGGCTCTCATCCTGTATACTGAATGCAGATGAATTAAAAGGTATTCCTGGGATTTTCTTTCTGGTGTTAGCAGTAGTGCTTACGATGACCAATATTGATGGCTATACAATCATATAAACTTCTTCCAAAATTTTCTACCATCTGGCCAAAGAGAGAAGCAGGTGGCATCTCTTCTGTCTGTGCATTTAGAAACCTGAGGCTGCAGTTGCCAGTTGGCACCATATTGTTCCTAGACGAGTCTCTCTCCTATGTTAATTTAGTTTTGAAGTGTGTGTTTGATATGTAGGGAATAAATGAGTATTCTGTGCCAGGGTCTGAGCTTTTTTTTCCTTTGCATAATGGCGCTAAAGACCTCACAAAACTAAACCCTTTAGAAACACAAGATCAATTGTTTGCCCCTTACAATTCCCTCATGTATTTTAGGGGTGTTGTGCATATTTCAAGCTGTCCAACTTCCAAGCCTTTTTAAATCTCCAAATTCTTTGTCCATTGTATATAAAAAAAAGTTCCTCTAGATTTTATGCAATGAGTTCTGTAAGTATTCTTAGCTTTCAGGATTTGCCACCTTTATTCATGTAGTAGCAGGAAAGCAAACTCTGAGCTTGTCTCGCGAAATTGCCCCAAAAATGAGTGATTTTTTTTTTTCCCCCCTCTGGTGTCTTCAACTTTGCTATTTGTTTTTTAAGACAGAATTTGTAATACATTTTTATAATTCTGCAGCTTATGCAACATTCCTGGCTGGTGTCACCATTGACACTGGATCCAGCTAAACTTCTGGAAGAGTTTCCCCGTTGGCTGGAAAAACTTTCTGCACGTCACCAAGGCAGCATTATTATAATTATTGATTCTATTGACCAAATACAGGTATGTTTTCAAAATACTTGCTGTTCGCCAGTCTTAAGATAAACTCGCATGAGTCTAGTGGGTTCAGTTGGTTTTTGTTTTTTACCATGATGTTTTTTGAGCAGTCTGGTTACACTGTTTATGCAGAGGATCAGGGTTGTGAGCAGACCTAGTAGGCATGTGAATAGCCTAGTCCTCATGCAGAGAGCTTTTGAATAATAGTATTCCAGCTGCTTTATGTAATATTCAATTGTGCTGATACATACCAGAAATTAAATAAGCTATTTTTAGGTGCACTGGAGAGCTTAAGACTCATTTTACTGAGCTAAAGAGTTGATGAAGCCTATCAACTTCTTGCTTTTTTTCTCCTTCTTTATTTAAACGATCTGATTGTTAAGTAACAGAATTTTTATTTTTAAGCAAGCTGAAAAACATATGAAATGGCTGATAGATCCTCTGCCAGTGAATGTGAGAATGATTGTATCAGTGAATGTAGAAACGTGCCCCCAGGCTTGGAGGTATGTTATATTTCTGGGATGTCTCCAAAAAGTTTGGGTTAAAATTACTATTTTATGGTTAAAGAACAAAAGGCCAAATTTATCAAGATCTGGAAATGTAATGAATACAGTTAGGTTCTGCAGCCACAGAGGAATAATGGAAATTTCTGTAACGATACTGCAATGAGGAGAGGTTTTCTCTGTTGTAAAGCTGTTATTTTCTTTTGATGGATCTTTTCACATGAGCATGTGAAAGAGAATATTAAATGTAGTCACGTGTACATCAAAAAGACCATTATAGTCATGTAGATTCAGGATAAGGCTAAAAATGGAACTTTGACTTGTGAGGACTAGAATTTCTTAGTATCAGGGAATAGCTTCAATTACTGCTTTGATATCAATCTTTAAAAAAGTCTACAACTTCTATGTCTTTTTTTTTTCCTTTTGTGTGCTGTTTAATGAGGTCTGAATGTAATTTTGTTCTGTTGCCGAAAGGTTGTGGCCCACTCTTCATCTTGATCCACTGAATTCCAAGGATGTTAAATCCCTCATTAGTGCGGAGTGTAACTCTGCAAATGTTAAGTTGACTAAAGAGCAGGTATGTCAATTGTAGTTCTTTAAAAGTTATTCTCTGTAGTATAACTTTTAAGGAAAACACGGAAATATGAAATAAGCAGAGGCACCAGAAGGAGGATTATGTTCAGCTGAGTAAAGTGTACTGGTCAGGACAGCATTTGGTTTGAACATTTTTTACCTCAAGGCTCATAGCACAAAATACAGATGGAACAGCATAAATTATTAACAAAAAAGTGCACAGTTGCACATATTGCTGAAAACATTCTCTTTCATTTTAGAATTGTAAAAGCTTTTATGTGGTGTGGTACTGTAACAGTGATTAGCTGAGTGGAAAAAAAAAAAAAGTATTTTGTCTGTTTGCCTCATGGCCTGATTCTGTAACATAATCTTCATCTTTAGTGATCTGATGATTAGACTGTAAGTCATTTGATCCTAAATTTGAAAGGAAACTTTGACCTACATGCTTCACTACCTGGGAAAACATAAAGTGTTTTTTTTTTTTTTTTTTTTTTTTTAAATCACTAATAATATACTCTTCAGATGTTACAGATCGACACATATCTACAGGTTTTATTTTCTTGTCTAATTATTAACTTCTGATTGGTATGATTAATTTTACTTTGTAGGAGAAGATGCTTGAGAAACATTGTCGTTCTGCTACAACTTGCAATGCCTTATATGTCACTCTTCTGGGTAAAATTGTTGCCTGGTAAGTTGACATGATCCTGAAATCATTGTGCTGACCCCTATGTTAGAAGGCTCCAGGTAGCTTTGTTCCATTTTTAAATACATTGACATGACAGAATGAATCTTGTTAAGAAAAAATAGAGTAAAACAAAATTGTTGTTCTCCTTTCACGGAGCGGATTGAATAGGAGGGAAGATCAGATAATCTATGATCTCTGCAATTTCAAGATTAAGTGAATCCAAGATTAAGTTGTATCTGTCTTTAAGCCCTTCGTTTTTAATATTTCTGCTGTTCTGATCTCTGGGTGAATCGGTTGCTTTAATGTTATTTGGAGGCTGTTAAATGGTTTAACTGAGGTCAGCTGGGTTTACTGATGTATCAGATAGTTTGTGTATTATGTTGCAAGTTTAAAAGGAAGCTCAGCAATTGTCCATCCTGTAGACTATATTTTTTTTTGTTCAAAAGGTTAATATTGTGTGCAACAGAATGTGTAAGAAGTGCATTAGCTTATTTATTAACCTAGATCTTGTTGAGAAAGCAGAGACAATATTGAGAAGTACTGAGACTCCCAAAAGATTATACTTCAATAACTTAGTCTGATGGTCTGATTTTAATTATTTTCAGTGTTTTGTTTTATGTTCTAGAAAGCCTAACTGCTTTTGAAAATTTGCTTATAAACATTGCATTAAATGGAACAGCAGCATCTGGTTTTATATTCCTATTTTTACCCAGCATGGTGTTATCACTGTGTTCCTGCTAGAAGAAAAGAACATTGCAACGTTTTCTTTTTCTGTTCTTTTCTTTTTTTTTTTTTAATAAGAATGTTGTAGATATTTAGAAAAATCAGGCAATATGACAGCAGGTGTCATATTTTTGAGTGTAATCTTGCCAGGTGCTGTGCATTTCTTAAACCCAGTGGGAATTCAGTGCACTTTAGAGAAAAGAGTTCTTCGTGCTGAGCCAAATTGCACGTGTTGAAGCAAGTTTTTTGTCCTCAGTGCTGGAGGCACCGGAAATATTGACGAAACCCTTCAGCAGTGTTTCCAGTGTCAGGACACAGTGTCACTCTACAGGCTTGTTCTGCGATCAGTTCAGGAGTCTTTGCGGAACGATAAGGAGAAGGATCTTTTGAAAGAGGTAAGCAGAGAAGGCTTCAGGATTTATATAGGAAATGTATATTCTTTCCTATAGACAGTTTTTGTTAAATGAAAAATAAAAACAGGTTTGTGTTAGTTCCTAGGGACCATTCAGAGACTACTGCATTTTTAGCATAGCAGGGACAGTTGTGTTAATCTAATTTTATTTATTACATAAATACAGAATATACGGCCTCTCTGTCTTAAATTTTAACAAAGGTATAATCTTACAAAACAGAACAGATCCCTGTCACTAGTATGTGATGTAATATCAGCACTATCTTTGGTGTTTTGATCCAATAACTAGTTATTGTAACTGCTAAAATTTTACAAGATGTTTCTAATATAAATTCATTTAGATTTACTTTTTAGGCAAGACTTTATTTATAACAGTTATCTCCTAGACTAAAGAAACTCCGTTACCAGAATCTCTTTCACAGATCAGACTTCTGCTGGACCTTCTTTTGAGAAACTAATATGAGCATAGCAAATAAAATCAAGACACTGCTTGTTTGATTTGTGATTCCTCTCCATGCTTCTGCAGAACTTCCCTGTGTTGTGTGGAACATTTCTTAATTTAGGAAATGATCCTCAACAATTACTAGAAATTCTGACAGTGCTTTTTTTGGCAGCATGTTTCTTTGGCATGCTTTACCTCAGTAGGAATCCCTTACAATACTGGAGGTACTGTTCCCCAAAGTGCTTTAGAGTGACATGTTTGTATGTTGTAAATGTCAAGTATTTGCCCTAATGGTGCTTTATCTGTTAAAATATTAATCTGTTATCACTGAGGATTGTTCTTTGACGACAGAAAGAGTTAATGTGAGTAGTTTTGTTCTTAGCATATAAAGGGTAATATACAATATTTTACACAATATTTTTCTTCAAATTTCAGGCTGAGCTCTGCCAAGTGTGTAAGGTGCTTTTTCTGCTTTCTGTAGGTGCTGTGTGTCATCGGTGTTAGCCACAACGGTGTGAGTGAGTCAGAGCTGATGGAGCTTTATCCTGAACTGTCTTCTGCAATGCTAGCCTTGCTCGTTCACAGCCTGCACAAAATGTGCTTGCTCACCTATGGCTGTGGTTTGCTGAAATTTCAGCACCTCCAGGTAAATCTTATGTTTCTAAACATGTGCAAGTGACACTCCACCATTGCATAAGTTTTTGTGCTGACTCTGATTTTGACTGTATTGAGTTAATTGGGGGAAGTGTTTCGGATATTCACTCAGCTTTACACCCAGTTACATCTCAGCAGAGTTCTGTCTTTTTTTCCGAGAAATTAGACAAGAATTAAACTAGAGTTCTGCTACATTCAGTGCTGACTGCATGTGTCCTAGTTTCAAGGTGTTCCTTGAAAACAAACGAACTTAAGGAGAAGGAAAAATGATCCAAATAGCATGAACTGTGGTCTAATACAAGATGATCTGTTTGTAATATCTTCGGCATGGAAAGATTTTCTTTCCACAACACAAGACTTGTTTGATATTTAAATCTGTGTTTCCTGTGAATCAACAGAACTTACTGAACAATTAAAATAAATATTCTTTCTTTCAATTCTGTTCTCTTTTAGGCTTGGGAAATGGTGAAATTAGAATATATGGAAGGTGAAAATGCTATTTCCACCTATAGACAAAAATTAGTAGACTATTTTACCATGCAGCTAAGGTAGGTCACAATTCTTCAAGATGTTCTAAACTGCAGGCTTTATAGCTCTCAGATATTTTTGTTTTCTTCATGTAGTTTCTTCGACTCAATATTGTAAAAAAAAAAAAAAAAAAAAAAAGGATAAAATAATATTTTTCAGTTTAGCAACTTATTATTGATATGTTGTTTTTTGTTCCTGGGAAAAGATTGAGGACTATGGTAGGTGTGGTGGGCATGCAAAAAGGTTACTGAGTGACGAGGTGGAACATGAATTCACAATGCACCCGATTTTTGTGGCTACTGCCCCCCTCTTCATCCCCTTCCTGTTCTTTTTAGCTCCCTCTAAATGCTAGGAAATTTGAGGTGTCTTGAAGGCAGAAGGAGACACCTCCTTGAATGTGGCAGGTGATAAGCACATGCACAAAGGAGGTCCAGTAAAGCAGCTGGAAGGCTGCAGGTTCGTGCCCAGCCTGGAAACTGATTTGCATTTGCAGTCCTGACATGGTCCCAAGCGTCTGTGGGCTACTTCTTGCTGCTTTTCACATCAAATGGACAAGTTGTATTAAGCCACTCGAAGTTTGTGTTTTGTTTATTTTTCTTTCAATAGTCAAGACCGAGTGACTTGGAGAAGTGCAGATGAACTTCCATGGCTCTTCCAGCAACAAGGTGACAAGCAAAAGCTACACAAGTGTCTTTTGAATCTCTTTGTATCGCAGAATCTTTACAAAAGGTACAAAAGTTTCCACTGCTTTGGTGGGTATAAACATTTCAAAGTAATAAGTAATTTTTTATCAAATATGTGAAATGTGAGGTAATATCTAGTTATCACCTAAAAATATGAAGAAATAAGAAAAAAAAAAAAAGACAGATATGGCTGAAAGAAACTTAAAGTAGTAAGAGGCTAAATGTTAGCCTCTTGATGACCCTGCTGTCTTATGAAACTTCTTTCTATCCTGCTACGAATGGGGCTCCGTAAATGCATAAATACTGCTGTTGTGGAGTAGTCCACGTGAATTGTCTCTGCAGTGTGCTTTAGCCAAAGAGCAAATTCATGCTTGTGGCCCTTTTAACCTAGTGTGAATCTGAAGAGAGAGATCTCAGAGATAAGATGGGCTTCTTATTTCCTTGTTAAAACAGGGGACATTTTGCAGAATTGCTGAGTTACTGGCAGCTGGTTGGGAAAGATAAAAGCTCTATGGCAGCTGAATATTTTGACTCTCTGAAAGAATATGAAAAAAGCTGTGAGGGAGAGGAAAGTATGATCTGCCTGGCTGATCTTTATGAGACCCTGGGACGGTTTCTTAAGGACCTAGGTCTTCTCAGTCAGGTGAGTACATGTAGAGACTGTAGCAGCAAGCAGGCAAATTAAGCAGAGCTCAGTCTGTACCTTCCTTCAGCACTGGTGAAGCTATTGCAGTGCCTGGGATGGTGCCTGCTGCCTTCATAGTCTCAATTGCCCTGTTGCAGGCTGTAGCTCCCCTGCAGCGTTCTCTGGAGATTCGAGAGACCGCGCTGGATCCAGACCACCCAAGGGTGGCCCAGTCACTCCACCAGCTGGCAGGAGTTTATGTTCAGTGGAAGAAGTTTGGAAACGCTGAGCAGCTGTATAAGCAGGCGCTGGAAATCTCCGAAAACGCTTACGGAGCAGAGCATCCCCGCGTAGCCCGAGAGCTTGATGCCCTTGCAACCTTGTACCAAAAGCAGAACAAGTAAGATTAACTGTGTCGGTGCCTTTTGTTTCATGTGGAGGTCTGTAACTTGGACCTGAGTCTTCGCTCCCCGAAGCCAGCATGCTTGTGTGGCTCTTTTCCTTGTTTTTTCCTAACTCCCCATGCAAAAGTGAGCATCCCCTGTGTAGTCTTGGGGCAGGCCACCTGGTCCAGTAGCCTGGACCTTTGTCCCCAGGATTCCAGCAAGCCAGAGTTACCAGAAGAACACTGTTTGGCTTAAGCATTTTGGATATTTTTACCTTTTACAAAAAGTGTAAATTTTCCCAGAATTCCGAAATGGCTTTAGAATTCGAATGGAATTTCTTCTCTCAAACAACTTAGAAGCTTTCTAGGCTACTGTCCAAAATATCTGCTGATGCTATATTTGACATTCTTCTAGCATTGCATAACCTCTGTAACTGTTTTCAGATACGAACAGGCTGAGCAGCTGAGGAAAAAGTCCTTCAAAATACGCCAAAAGGCAGCAAGGCGGAAAGGCAGTTTGGTAAGGAAATACTTGATATTTAGTAGGAATGCAGTACAGCTGTGGCTCTCGTAAATGGATAATGAAGTGTGTCTGCAGAGCTGTTCTAGAAATCTGCTCCTCAAGTGCTTTTGATAACTGTGAAGGCATATGTGTAGTCAGGTGGTATAGCACCTAGCTGTGACTAGGTGTAACTGTGGTGGAAGTGATGGAAAGCCACAAAATGCTGGTCTTTCCCCTGTGCTTAAATACAATGTATTCAGATCACAGGGATTTTGTCAATTTTTGTTATGAGCTTTGCTGCACAAATATTTTTATAGAAACTGCAAAGCTCAAGAATTGGGCAGAGTGTATAACAAAGGCTACACTTCTTATTTGCTTTGCCTGTAAGTGTTGTTTGTTTCTTGGCATTTTGAAGGATAATATTCTTTTACTACTTGCATACAGTATTCAGGTAGGAAATCAGCTTTATTTATTTATTTATTTATTTTAATAAGAATGTAATCTAAATAGCTTATTTGAATTAACTGAGCTCAAGGAATTTAGCCTGTACAGTAGAGGGAAAACAGAGCTATAAAACAGCACAGTAAGTAAGGCTGGAAGTCTGAATTATTTCCTGGAAGCCTGATGAGTGAAATTCACTGTTAGATTGTAAATGAGCAGAGTGCCAATGCACCTTAGCCTGAAAATAAGAGGTAGGTAGAATTACCGTGTTTCTTTGGCACCGAAGTATTTGGCTTTTCCATCCTCAGTAGTTCACTGTGGAAGTGTGACGATTGGCTTGCGTTGCCTTGTGTTTTGCTGCAGTGTGGCTTTGCTCTCCTGCGTCAGAGGGCCCTGCAGCTGGAAGAACTCACGTTGGGCAAAGATACTCCTGACAATGCTCGAACCCTCAATGAGCTCGGAGTCCTTTATTACCTGCAGAATAATCTCGAGTAAGTTTTGTTCTTTGTGACGCATCCAGTGATTTTTCTCATAGATCTAAGTAGATGTGAAGCATTGGGTACAAACAAGTGTTTAATCTAGAAACAAGCGCAGAGAGGGTGCTGCTCCTGATTCATTCTACAAGTTTTTTTGTTCACTGTGAGATTCACTTAAATTTTCTAGAGTAGATGCCATCAGAAGTATTTATAAGCCAAGTCAGTGCATTTCCTGTGTTTAGAATTGATGTTCTACAGTTCAGGTTTAACTACTCTCCCTTTGTAGTGCTCCTTCTTGAACAGGATGTTTGCTGTTACTCACAGCACTCAAAATGTTGGCCTTTTTAGAAGTCATGAATTTAAGTATTTATCGAGCATGGTAAAAATCTGTGAGTGCTTACCCTGCAGGCTGTGTAGTGGCACAAGAGGACAGAGTGGCACAAAACCCCTTTTTTTCATGGGGGATTGTGCATCTGTTCTAAATCAGCAAGTCCAAGATTGATTTATTGATGAATGACAGAAAGGTGCATCACTTTATCAGGTCTTACATATTATGACACTTGCTCTTCTAGCCCTTAAATGTAGAGAACACCTTTTGACACTGGTTAGGAGCTCCAGAACTGGACCTACAGTTCTGGGTGTAAATGGTCCCTTTCTCTATAGTACGAAATGGATTTTTCCAATTTACTAAACAGACCTCTTGAGAATAGAGCCACACCGAATGTGTGTGTAAGTCAGGATGACAAACTACGTAGTTGCAGCGGATGCTGCCAATATTACATGGGGATCAGCTGTTGTTTGTGATAGAAAACTGCTGTGGATTTGCCGTGGATTAATAATACACTACTGATATAAATTGTGTGATAGGGAAATGCTGGCATGGTGCCATTATAGACAGTCTTTCCCATAGCATCACCTTTAGACAGATTCTGTAATGAAAATCTAGCTCATAACATACATAAATGCTGTTTCTCTCTCTCCATCTTTAGTATTAAAACTGCTTTAAACTTAATTTTAAATCTAAACCTATTTTAAACTTAGTATTTAAACCTAATTGTACTATGATCTTTAAAGTTATTAGAAAAATGAGTGAGCCTTAACTCATTCAAATGTTCAACTATTGCTTTATTCAGAAAAGCACCTGGCTGCTGTGAGGGTTTGCACAGAAGGAGAGTGTTTTTGAATGCTGAAGAACTGTAGTTGGAACCATGGGTAGCCACAGAACTGCATAACATTTGCCGAAATCCCTTAGACTGGCTTTTGTGCCCTAGAAGGGGGGCTTGCAGATGCACAGAAATGTATTAATAAACTTTGTACCTTCATTCCTGTGGTTAGCCTGCGTGGCAGGCCTGTGCCTGGCAGATGTATTTGCTCACTAATCCCGTGTGTGCTTGTCTGGGGAGAACAAAAGCCCTTAGCAGATGTCAGAATTTTTGCAGTTTTCAAGGTGGAATTTATTGCACCTCCAGCAGCCCCTACAGCCTCTGCAGCTGTAACCGGTTGTCAAGTAGTGCTGAACACGTGTGTTCTGCAGGACAGCAGAGCTTTTCCTCAAACGCTCCTTGGAAATGAGAGAGAGGGTCCTGGGGCCCGAGCACCCCGACTGCGCCCAGTCCCTCAACAACCTGGCGGCCCTGTACAACGAGGAGCAGCTCCACGACAAGGCCGAGGAGCTCTACGAGAGAGCCCTGGACATCCGCAGGAGAGCGCTCGCTCCCGACCACCCCTCCTTGGCTTACACCGTGAAACACCTGGCAGTGCTCTACAAGAAGATGGTGAGACAGGCCTCTTGTCTTGTTTTATTTTAAAAAAAAATACTGGCTCAGATAACTCTAATTGGTGGCTGAGCCTCTCCAGGCTGGAAGTTTGATGTTGCTAGAAACCTGTAACTCTCTGAAAGCATATTCGCACCAAGCAGCTTTCTGACAGTGTGAAGGAGCATGAATTAAAACGAAGGGTGAACCAGTCATACAAGGCAGAGCGGAGGAAGAAAAGGGACAGGAGTCTGATATTAAAAATGACAACTTACAGATAAGTGCTCAATCCATATGACTTGCTGATCATCACAGCTGGGGCATGGTGATGCTTTGAAGAAATAAGGATGACATTTGAAGTTTGTAATTATAGTGAAGAAATATACCATGGAAGTTTGCAGTTACAGATTTTGTAATTGTTATTAAGCATGAGAATTCACTTTTGAATAGTGGAAAACTAAGCATATTTCTCAAGTACATCCAGTTAATGTGTGAGCAGATTCAGACTTGCAGCAAAACAGATATACTAGGAAAATAATAATCTACACTAAGCCAGTTGGAAAATAAGAGGGACAGAGAAACAGAAAGTCAAGAATCTGAATTCTCACTGGGGGAATGGGAGGGGACAGGTATTTGCAATGGCATTGAGCATTGCTGGTGCTCCTAAGAAGATGGTGTGAACACCACTTCACTGAATAGTAAACTGCTCAAAACTGCTCAAAAATTAAGGCACCTACAATCTCATATTATTAGTTAAAAAATAGGCCCTTTAATACCAAAGTAAATGCTCTAGTCTGTCATTTATGGCAGGATGAAGAAATGTAGATGGAGAAAATAATTTGGATAAAAGTAAAGCTGAATCTTTTTCTTCTAGTCTTCTGAATTGGACACTTGTGGAAAACAATATTGAAAAAAGGAAGATGTAGCCAGTAGTAGATATAGCCAAGAAACACATTCCCAGTCCTGCAGCATACATAACTTTAAATTTAGATGTAAGAATTTAATGAGAGTTGAATATGATTTTGTAAAACTAGGTCCTAATATTCATGATAAAGAATCTCAGCTGAATATAACTATGAGTTGACCAAAGTTAAACACTTCTTCTGGAAATAATTTGAACTCCTTCAAGCTTTTTATTGTAAGAATATTTGACTGCTGCCATTCTGGTACACCAAGACAACAGAGTCATTCTTTCTCTTTTGTTTTCTAGGGGAAGCTTGACAAGGCTGTTCCTCTGTATGAACTAGCTGTCGAAATTCGACAGAAATCGTTTGGCCCAAAACACCCTAGTGTAGCTACTGCTTTGGTGAATCTTGCTGTTCTTTACTGTCAGATGGTAAGTTTTCATGTTGTATGTACTTATTATTCCTATCTGAAGCTTTTTTTTTTTAATGGCTGCACTTAAGTGATATCAAAGGAGCATAATTGCATTTAAGAGAGAACTCCTTATAGGACTTACTTGCCAGTTCTTAAGTTCAGTGTTAAAAGCTGGCAAGGAAAATGTATGCAGGCAACCAGGAACTGCTTTGACTGGTGCTACACTAGGACACTTGGGCTAATGCTCTTTAAATTATTCAAAATGCCCATGTGATTTTAGAGGTGTGGCTGGAATAGAGTAATTCCCACAAAACAGCAATTGTCCCAGCATGATGGAGCACAGCTACCCCACAGGCTGCCTGGGAGATGTTACCCACTGAAACATGTGGCCCTGGATGACAAGTGCCCACCCTGATCAACCGTGGCTCTGTGTAACTACCTGTCTGAGCTGGCTCTACCAATTGACTCTGTAGTCCACATTAACATGAGATTACAGGAAAAGCAATCAGCCTGTTGCCAAATTCCTTACTTGGCATCATTAGAAGCAAGCAGTATATTGTTTCTTGTTTTCCACATTTCTGTAGTGTGCCTATCTGATTTTTCAACAGGGATTATAGCTAATTGAGGAAAAATGCTTAAAGACCATTTCATAACTCAAATCATTCAGGTATGCAGGGTGAAATTTCAAAACTGCCAGAAATTTTCAAAACTGTCCAGTCCCTAATAAAAGATCCAGCCTGGTTTGCAAGTGAAAGTCAACTGCTCTGGCAGGCTCAGTCATCTTCATCTGTCACTAGTAGTGACAAAACCTTCAAAAGACCCGGTTTCCTGGTAAAAATTTCCTGTTTGAGTATGGATTAATTTCTACTTGGGCTATACTGAAAGGATGTAAGAAAAGAACAAATGTAAAACAGCTCTCTAACAAACGACTCTCCTACTAACCAAAGAAAAAGCAGATTGAAGCTTTACCTCTTTATGAACGTGCATTAAAGATTTATGAAGACAGCTTTGGCCATATGCATCCTCGTGTGGGAGAGACTCTAAAGAACTTGGCTGTGCTCAGGTAAGATTTTTAGTTCTGGGCGTATAAAGGAGGAATTACTATTATAAATGAAAAAAAAAAGTAGATAAAATGTACTAGAGCTGCTTGTTTGTTAAGTAAGCAGGCAGCTTTAAATTTGTATTTAGCAGCGTGTGCATTCTAGACTGATTACATGGGGAATTTTCTTTTGTTTCAACTTTTTTACTCTTCTCCCAAAGCTACGAAGGGGGGGATTTTGAGAAGGCTGCTGAACTTTACAAGAGAGCTATGGAAATAAAAGAAGCAGAGACTGTGTTGATAGGTGGAAAAGCAACTTCCCGGCACTCATCAAGTGGAGATACGTTCAGCTTGAAAAGTGCTTTGTCACCAAATGTTTTCCTGGAACATGGACAAAGGTGATAGAAAGCTGCTCAAATGTAAGGACAGTAATTTGCATCTAAGTTAGACATAAAAATACTCTAAAACTCTATGCTTCCTGGAATGAAATAGTATTTCAGTACCTAAAAACTCCAGAATGAAGAGAGAAATATGTTAACATGAAAGGATTTCCATGTTAAACTTTATGGACTGTACGGTACAAGCTGAGTTTCTTCGATGGTATATAGACATGCATATGAACATCTTGCTGAAGTTACAGCTAATGCAAAAAATATGGTATGTACTTTGATCTCTCTTAGGTCAAGAGCTGGGATTATAATGACAAATATAGGTTAAACTAATTGTATATACTCCAGATGACACTTCTTATTTCTATGTTGCAATAGCCTGGCTTAGGCCAGTTCTACTTTTTTTTTGTCTTTCTGCCTCTTCAGAATATTTTAAAGTTATTTCTGTATAGATGATATAGTTTTTAGAAAGTCAAATACACTTCCACCCAAATTTTTATTTGCAGCTTGATTTCAGCTTTGTACAAGTTTATATTCCAGGGTTGCTCTGGGGAAAATTAACTACGAAATAATCTACAGTTAAAGATATCCAAAGGGTGTCAGATTCAGCTATGTTCTACAGAAATATTTCTAGTTATTGCTAGTCTCTTAGAAGGGACTTCACTAAAATATTTCAGATGTAACTGATGTATATTTGATCCAGTATGGAATTACAAACGACCCTTACCTCAAAGGGATACTTGTCTTCCACAGTCACTTGTGTTTTTATAATGCAGTTAATTTAAACTTAGAAATGATTTAATGTTTTGGTAAGGCTGCAACTTGGCAAATTACCAGTTTCAGAGTGTTCTAAACAAACCTACAGACCTCAGCTTGATCTTTACATATTTAATAAAAAGATCAAAAGTAGCACTTGAAGGTAGTGCAGCATAGCTACAGTCTCCAGTTTGTAATAGATTTCTTCACACCTTTTCTTACTTCTGAAAACAGGTCCCATCAAAGCCATTTTTTTCACTGTCCTCTTAGAACATTATGGGCTTGTCTCTCTGAAGGATTGCTACACTATTAAGGAACAAATAAACCCCCGCAGTATCTCCCTTCTCCTTCACTCAACAGCCTGTACTTGTTCCTGTTACTCTTCTCAGCCCTGATGCCTCTCCCACCAAGGGCAGTATAGCGCAGGGGCAGGTGCCTGCTCACATTCAACATGTACCGTGTAAAACACGTAGCATGTAATGGTGTCTTCCTCTCCTAAACATTTTCCTTCACAGTGACAGTGCAAGTGAAGACAAACCATCAGTATCCTATTAAGCTTTCCCCCGTGAATGATTACTAACTCTGAAATCCTTAATTTACTTCTTTCCTTAATTTACTTCTCTCCCCTCCATTCATGCATAAATTTACTTGCACTGTTATTTTAGAAAGAAACATCAGTCCCTAAAAAGCAGCAAGTTGCAATGGCCCCTTGTCCATTAGCAAAGCGAAGGAGCAAACAGTTTGCTTTTCCCTGGCCCCCTGAAGAAAAGTTCTTATGGAAAACATGACCCTGAGTAAGAGTGGAGGATCCTGGTGCTCACGAGCTTAGGAGGCTCTAGCCACAGCTGGTTGTGCTCTCGAGACAATTGCTTCTAGGTTGTAGTTTTACCTCACTCAGAGAGGAGTCACTTGTATATCTGGTATAAGCCAAATGCTGTAATATATTTAATACCTCTACACCAGAGCTTCACCTCAAGTGAAGGTCTGCAGACTCAATGGAGATTTAATAGTCACAATCCCAACATCTCAATAGCATTTGTGATGCACTGTAAAAATTGAATGTTTTTAAGATTGCCAAATAAAAGAACAAAGTCCAACTAACTGTTGCAGTATGTTTCATTTATTATATCACAACAAAAAGTCATAATTGTCCATTAGGTTTTCCAGTCAGAATGAATTATGCTTGTAAATTCCTTTTTAATCAGAAAAATTGTTAAAGCTGATTGATTGATTTAGTTCAGTACTGAACTAAATTTTGCACCATTAATACACTTAAATTATTAATGATTTTAAATTTTTGCATGTGATTTGAGAGTGAGAAAGTAATATAAGAACTCTTTGCATGCTCCGAAAGTGTGCTGACAGTAACATACGAGCTTACTCCTAAAACTGTACATGAAATAAAACTGTAAGCAGTTGCCTATTGTAAAGCTGTGAATCATGATAGCAGTAATGTCTGTAGCCAAAAAGACTCCAGCTTAATCGAGCGTTCATGGAACTGAGTCTGCCCTTTGCCTCAGGATCTCCGGAGTCATGTGGGTGCCTCGTTTTTTATTGTTCCCAAAGGAGAGGTAGTCTCTCCCAAAGAAATAATTTATGTTTTACTTTTGACCTTGGATGCAGCTAGTGCAGACTCTGGAATGATAGACTCTGGACTCTGATGTCGATTCAAGTGTCTACATTTTTAATGGCCTCACTGTTTGTTTTTGTTTCCCCCTGCTCTGTACAGTTAATTCCTAAGCTCTGGTCTCTCCAGAAATGAGCTCAGCCTTCTGTTTTATACTATAACACATTTTCTGTCCAAAAATCATCAGTGGCCTCAGAGATTTTTGTTTAAATATACTATCACAAGAAGCATCTTCAAAATAGTACATAGTTGTTGAATACTGTTCCTATTATCTACTAGGCAGTTCTGTGTTGGTTTCATCCTGCTCTGAAAAAGCTTTAAGAGCAGAATTTTGAAAATATGGAAATACTGGCATTACACTATAGACCAAAATGTACATTCTTCTGAGCCAAATCTAAATAGCAGTAGAGTCTGCTATTAGATAACAAGAGCAGTTAAAATATCTTGGTTCTTCCAAGATATTAGTCATCTGCTGGGTACTGGCCCTACAGAATGTGTATACCTACAGGATAATTTACAGGTCAGCTTAACACATAATAATTTCAAAGTTAGAAGTACTGTAATAACATTACTTACAAGACAAACATCTTCAGTGGCGTAGCTGAAGTATCTGCAACATTATAAGTTTAGACCATCTAATTTCAGAAACATTAATAGGCAACTCAGAGTAAGTGCTCTCTAACCCATGAAATGGGTTTGGTTCAGAAATAGTTAAGGTCTTAGAAATGAACAAAAGTAAAATATTTAGATTTTCAAAGAGAGAGATGAAATCTCCTCTGCATTCCAGTGTTACTGTAATTCTCACAGATTTCATCATAAGGACTATTTGCAGCTGAAGTGATGACATGTTAATATCCTGCCAGCTAGCACAATTATCTGCTAACAAAAAACCTCTTAGTCCTTGTTATGGTGTATTCCAATGGGCCATCACACGGGCAACATATACGCAGCTAGTTAAAAACACGCAGGAATAAAGCTGCCCGAAACAAAGAAATTCCAAAATACTCCATCTCAGTGATGGAAAGGCTAAAATGCTTCATCACTCAAAAAAAAAAAATAACCACAGCACGCTCCCTGTCAACAACCAAGCCCCATGAGCACTAATTAGGACATAGGCATGGAAGATGGGAAGCAGCAGCAAGAGCGAGGCATGATGAGCAGCCAAGGACCTACGTGCGCCACTCCTGCAGAGGGCATTTCACTTGTCCTGTTATCTGCTCAACTGATCACATGAGATTGCTGGTAACAGGCCATGCTCTTGATAGTTCACTCATCACCTTGAATTTTCCACTGAATAGCGGGACCCTAGACACGCTGGGAAGTTAAAACTTACAAAACTTAAATAGCACTTTGTATTTTGAAGATGTTTGAATAGGCGGGCAGAAATAAATACAAACACCATCTCTTCCCCCGACCCCAAGTAACAGTTCCATTTCATCAGAAGTTCAAGGATAAACTTCAGTGGAAAAAAAAAAAAAAAATCACGCAAAAAGTTGTTCTTCCTTATAATCCAATGTCAATCCAAATTCCCAGGAATTTGCTACATGTTTTGCTACAAGTTTTTCATTTTGGCCATGAGTTCTTCTAGGCTTTCCTCAGACTCTGGCACCAGTTCATCAGTTACAGCATTCTCTTCCTGTTAGGAACAGGAGAAAAAAAATAAGAACAATAGCACAGCCCCACAATCCCCTCTCCCCCCTCTATTGGCTTTACATCAGTTACACAGTGCCATTTTCTTGGAACTAAGAACCCAACTCTAATATCAGGCTCCAATAACTTAACAGAAAAAGGGTTTACAACTGCATGCCCCGTTCTCAGTAGGATTCAGAATGTTCCAGCAGCAACACGGACAAATTGCGGCCACCAGATATATTCATTTCACTGCGACTATGTAATCCTTTTAAAAGGCAAGCAGGGTAAAAAATACTAGTCACCAAAATATCAAGTGAGAAAGTCATGTTTGCTTACAACTAGCACACAAAATATGAAGTAAAATCACTATCATCACCTCAAAATTATATTCACACTAACTTTATGTAAAGAAAGTTGTTTTTCAGAAGGACAATTGAGATTGGACCACAGAAAATCCTCATGGAATGGGCTTAGATACATTTTTATTGAAATTGTGTAAAATAGGATTTTAGTGTAGGCTTAAATGGTACCCAAACTGATAGCTATTATAAATTTTAATGTGCAGGATATACTAAAAAAGTATTCTAAATTCTAAAAGAATAAATTGTGGAGTGCATATTACCTTGTTTGGGATTGTATATGCTACAGTAATCCCCTCTGGAAGATCCGGTACTGGACCAGAGGCAGCTCTCAGCTCCTCTTCCGAAGTTTCTGATACTAATTCGATGCCTTGACATTAAAGCAGGATATACTCCCAGTTAAAAAAAAAGAAAAAAAAAAAGAGAAAGAATTTTTCGATCAGTATGTTGAGAGAAAAACTGCAATCACCTTTCTGAAATACAGAAAATTTGAAATAGAAGATCTTTCTGTTTTCAACTGCTTCATCCCCATTACAATGTGAAGTAATTTTATTTAATTTAGATTATATGAAATATTTCCATACCTGCACCTTACGGGCAAGAATTGTACTTCTGTAGCACTTCATTTTCTCACAGCTTAAATCTTACTGTGAGGGCAGCATTCCCAATAGTATGGTAGGATTATTCTCTAC